GGGCTTTCGTGTTCACTGGACATATCAACTTTAAAAACACCAAGCCATTCGTATTAATTATTTTGCCATTGATGTAATTAACTGAGATTTACAGATGGCAATTTGCAGTTACCATTTTGTAATTTTCCGATGTTTTCTATTTCCCTTGATTTTTATTTTCTTTTTTTTTATTAACAATCCATTACGCGAGCTTTTACGTTATTCCTAAATCTAGAAAAAATTAAAAAAATTCCCCTTTTTTAAGAATATACGTGACCTACATTTTTCTAACTGTTCTTTATATCGAATCTTATTCACTGCAGGAGCTAAAGAGAAGCTTCCTGCTGCAAATGACAGGTTTCGGGTGTCGTAAGAAATATTATCTACCAAAATGAATCAATAATTTCAGTAGTTTTCAAGCTTAGAGCGTGTACAGTGTTATAATACAACATTTAATGAAATATTCTATAGCTTGGAGGCAGGTGAAGCAACCAGAAACAAAGCTTTTGATTACATCTGCTATCTTAGTATGATCCTAAAGCCTAGAATTATCCGCTAAAATACAGCTCAACATGAAACCATAGCTGTGGTAAATTTCAATAAAACAAAAATACTTGTCAGTATTTACATTATCCAATCAATTACCTACCAGCATAATTGAAGTTTGCTAACGAGCTATTTGCTCGAATAATCTTCTCCCCAAGTCTCTCTGGGTGTACTGGTTTGTTCTCATCTGTTAACTTGACCCATCCAAACCACACCTGGGATGCTCCAACCCCAAGTACAAGGCATACACGTAGCATTCCTCCTCAAAGATTGAGAACAAGCTATGCATGCTAAAATCAACTTCAAGACACTTATGCTACTTCAAGTCTCTTCCAAGTTGAAATACATCGAATTTTAAATTCCTCTATCGAAGAACAAGTTGAATCAAATCTTTTTTCATTCTGTACACGTCTGACTTCTGACTATTTTCATTCCACTTCCAGTACTACAATCATGTTATCATGTTTTTTTAATAAATTAGCTCAAAATGGTGCAAATTTTCTGCAGTGTTTTTTAAGGGAGAAATCCTTACTCAACAGAAATAAGTGCGGAAATTTTTTTAGGCAGGATAGCAGCTGGAATAGAAGTAGGTCATAAACTTTTTGAATGAGTTTCATTCCATTCAAACTTTGAAATTTAATATATTCTTTAAACTTTTCAGATGTTAAAAAAATAGCAATCAATCAATTTGAGATGAATTAATCAGGATATTTTTTTTATTTATTTCCGATATTTTTTTGGAAATTTTTGATGATATTAATGGAGTTTTTTTTATTTTTTTATTGTTTCTCCTAAAGTCATCAACTTGGAATCAATCTGTTGATAATATTTTAATTAGTCAATGACTTTCATTAATCAACAAAACTTCAACTGATTTTCTTATATTGCATTTTATACGTTAAATGAGTATTTGACCTACATTGTCAGTTGTAAAACTTTAAGCTTGTTTCAAACTTGTGATATTTTATTCTAAACCCTGAATGAAAACAATAAAATAGTTAGTTGATTGAACAAATGCTTATTTTAAACACAATATTATTTCAAAATCAGCTTTGTATTTAGTGAAAACACAGATCAGATGCATGAAATGTCGTGTTAGGAGGTCAAAATATTTACTCAATTTGTTATTCTAAAAAAGACTAGAAAATATTTTCTTTGCGAACAATTTACTGCTAAAAGGCGAGAATATCCTTCGACTAAAAGAAATATTTTATTAAAAATGTTCAATGAAAAACATATTTTCGCTTCAGAAATTTCTACTTTTCATCGTCTTGATGATAAGAAAAATATTGGTTTAATCTAAAACCTCATCGTTGCACAATTTTTCTTTCTTGAACCGTATAAAATCTAAAACGAGAAAACGATTTCGAAGAAAATTCAGTCAGTTTGTCAATTTTTCTCTCTTCTATTCCTAAAGGAATACGAAAGTTTATTTATTTATTTTTTTTTATTATTCAAATTCATAATTAGATTTTACTGAATTAAACTTCAGCTCATAAATTATATTATTTTTTCATAATTGAGCAAATAATTACTACTGAATAACAACTTCAACAGAGTCAAGAAGCAACAAGGATGTAATCTAGTCATATAACTTTCTGTTGATTTTAGAAATTAATTAAACACTATTTTCATTGTTAAATAATATCCAGAATAATATCCTGACTCTAGTTAGAATACCAAAAAATGTGTTAATAATTTTGAGTGAGTTTAAAAGAGTACTTTTGAAGTTTGTCCTCAAGTTTTAAACCCTCTAAATAATTCCAAAATAAGTTCAATAATTAATGGAAATAATTATATTATATATTAATAAACTGCACGTAGTTATCATAGCAGTAGTTCTTCTTCTCATCAAGTTAATGCACATCTCATTAGTAAAGCATAACGATATGAAATGGATTAGTCATAGTGTCAAGACGTTCTTGAAAACTGTCTAGGATATTCATTGCGGTTGAAGAGGGATGTAATGTTGTAGTTGAAATATTCACAATCTTCCTCCTTGTCGGCCACTTCAATTTGTGTAAAGTAACTCTCACGATTCGCGACAAATGACCTGCTTTTAGGAAAGTTATAGCGTGATGCACTTCACTATGTTTGATATATGCAGGAGTAAACTGTCCAAACTTTAGTGAACATGTTGAGATACTTTGAAGTAACTCATGTTAACAATTTTTCTCTTTCCTCCGCTTCGGTGTATTGATATGTACATAAATTGAATACAATAGATAGATCATCATTGAAATAAAATCAGCCCGAATCATAACACTTGAGACATTAAAGTTGTATAAAAATTTTATTAGTCCTCAAACAACTATAACAATAACAAATATCAACGATTCTCCATCATGGTGTATGTACATCATTCATAGCATTGCTGCAAACAAATCAACACTAGTGTGCAATCGAAGGAATGACATTGACTGACCACAATACGCTCAGTTGATGACTGATGTATGCACCACCAATGTCGATTGCCAAGTGAGAGTAGGCTGGCTATCTGTACAACCATGAAGTTCCTATCCTCTTGTATTTGTCATTCTGCTATCGCGTGAATTGAAATTACTGGCGAGAAGATAAATATAACGAAAACGGGTTACTATACTATATATTGATCATCCACACATTTCATGATGTTTTCGATGATAACATGGTATTATTCAGTTTCATGATATCTGGAATTTATTGAACTCATCAATTATTGAGTCTACTTATAACTCTAATACCTCAATTATAAAACCCTGAATTAATTCAATAGATGCACGTCAATAGAACATAATCTTTTTTCAATACTTTACAATTTAAAAAAAAAATACATTTCTTAGTTTCTTATTTCAATGTTTTATGTAATTTTGATTTTATTTATTAATCCAACTAATTAAATACATGGCAAATAACACATCAAGTTATTCATTATATTAATCAGTGTAATCATTCAGTCGATCGTTGTTTTAATATTTCATGAAAATCGTATTGATTAGACCTGTTGGTTTGTCTATACACTGCAAATTCCAGTAAATTAAAATAATTCACATTTAGTGTATTTAATGTTAAAACTCTATATACAAATTATTGCATTTTGTAGTCACTTTTTACTCATTTTAGAGTGTGTTAAATTCTACAATTTAATAAATCAATCAATTAAAAATATTACTAAGTCGTTGTTTTAAAAAACTATTTATCATTTGTATTCATGAAATTAATTATAATTTGAATCAAAAAATTTCGTCAACTCTAAACTCTTTCATCATCTTTATTTCAAGTTTTACTATCATTTTTAATAATCAAGAAAAAATAAATACTTGAATTCGTGTTATTTGTATAAACATTTAGCATATGAATGGGAAAATTATCAGTTTGAAAAAAAATATTCATCCTTTCATTATATAACGACAAACTAATAACTTAAGCCATCTCATCAATTATGCTGGCCATAGTGTGATCAAAAAAACAGTCAATAGTATATTATTTAATAATAGAAATGAAAATAGTATTATAGTATTTAGTTATTATTATTTCTATGATATTTATATTTAATGATCACATGAGGCATTAAATAATTTATCATTTGATATTCCAGGAATTAATAATATTCACCTGAAAATCATCGCGATAAATTCAAAAGAATCAATTGTCTTCATTTTTTTTTAAAATTTAATGATTAGATGATAGGAATTATCAACAAAAAGTATGAAAATAAATCTACATATATGCAAGATTGTTTTGCTGATTAGAAATATATCATATTTTCTTGATATCATTGAGGATCATTCTCAACATTATGATATTTACTTAACTGATATATATCTAACATCATGGCGTTCATAAGTTGTTTAATCCCATCTTGAAGTTTTATGAGCGATTCCTTACGACATCAAAGCAATATTTATCGTTTTTATTACGATCATTTTATAATCTATTACCCAAAAAAATAATTAGATCCCATCAAGGTAAATACGGAGCACACTAAAAATGTCTTTAACGTAATAGATTATCAATGATATACTGAACAATAATAGTTTGAATGCATGACTTGTAAGTAGAAACAATTTATTATCAAATTAATTAGCAAATGAGCAAGCAGGAAGTTCAGCGACGCGCAACTTGATTACATACCAAGTGATTTATTTTGAGGGTAAAATATACAGGTCAATAGATGCACCACGTCCTTCGTTTTTAACTGTCACTCTTACATCTCGTAAAAAGCATTTCCTCAGAGTAATGGGAGAAAAAAGCGCTTTCTTTGAGGCTTTATGATGATAATGCTTTGAGCTTGTATATACCCAAGAGTTTTTCAAAGAAAATCATATGGTTGACTGATACATTTAGAAAGAAACGGGAAGACATGAAAGTGAAAATACCTTTAGGGTTTTTCAAAATCGTTGCGTTTTAGTCAAGCTAATGTAAAAAGTTCCAAGCATGAAAAAAGGTAATGTTATTTTTTATTTAAGTAACGTATGGTTTTTTTTCTTTTGCAGTTTGTGGGGACATTCATGGACAGTTCTATGACCTCATGAAATTATTTGAGGTCGGAGGCCCACCCTCTACGACAAAATACCTTTTTCTTGGTGATTACGTAGACAGGGGTTACTTCAGTATCGAGGTATGTTTTTCAACATCATCATTATATTGCTCGATTATCTTATTATTTTTAGACATATTGCATCTATTTTTATTTTCAGTCAGATTATTTTTTATGTTATTGGACTGATTAGAATGTTATGTTAAGAATAATCAATCACTCAATGAATTAGTAATCAAAACTTTGTTGCTAAAATAAACCATCATCAGTTAATCAACTCTCCTATTGTATTGTATATTAATGTAGCTATCTATATTATTCATTTATCCAACATTATGTCCATATCATGATGAAGAATAATAAAAAAATTCAGGAATGTGCTGAATCATTGTTCAAAAAGTATGAAAGTAGATCAAGGAACTTGAGAATAAGTTTACAATAAATCTGGGAATAAATGTAGGTGGGACAATAAATGTTGCTGATGATCATGCCAAGTCACACGCTTTACACACTTCACCTGTTACCATGTTGGCAATGAAAACTCTCAAATTACAGTGATGAAATCTGTTTTATTATAATTTATTGTAATTATAGTGATTATTTATTCTTGACAAATTTGCTTTGTTTAAAATATTCTTCTTTTCTTCATTATCACTTGACGTTGTTCAATAAATTTTGATTGCTCTTTTTTAGCTATGTATATCCAAGAAGCATCTTCATTATTGATTAGTGATTAGTTGTATTTTACTGTTGTTGATAAACTTTGGTATTTATGAATAATTGATCCAATAAGATTAGGGTAAAGTTAACTATTTAGATCTAACTAATTAATTTTTATTATTGTTTTTATTGTATCATCGATCCAATAATTGTTACATGGAGTTTTTATCACTGTGCTTGATAATCCAGTAACAGCAATTCCAAATTTTATTGCCAGTGAATTCAAAAAAAATCTTTATCCAACATTGAATGAGATATGTAATCGTCTTTACATTACAGTATTTTTTTTATCAAAAAAAGTTAACTAAATTCTTCAGTAAAAAAATCAATACTGGTAAATTTGGGTTTCTCTTCAATCACTGATGTACATCATCCTCTATCACATTGAAATTGAATAAATCACTTGTTAAGAAATTTAAAAAATTAACAGTGATATTGAGTATTGGAAAGTTGTTAAAAATGTTGATAGTATTTCAAACACCAGCTTATATTTATGATCCTTTAAGCACTTACTGTGATGATCCTCATTTTAAGCTTTCATAGAAACACAATAAAAGCATAGGAAAGTTAACTGGTATTGAGATCAAGGCTGAATGCACATAGGAATTAATGTTCCACCAGAGATTTTTGATTTTTCTTTGTACTTTTATTACTCATTCTCTCCTTTTCTCATGTAATCCTATTGAGTTCAGTTAAATCTTCTGCTCGATTTAATATTTATTTAATGAAAATAAAGGATGTCATCAATTAACTTCTATACTAAAATTATTGAAGCCCATTTAATGTCACACAAACGATATTTGATGCTGGAGGAAATTGCATTAGCTGAATAAAGTTTGTATTTTTATACGGAATAATGATTATTTTTTTTGTTATGCTTGAAGCAACAACAATTCATTTACATACACAAGGCATTATTATTATTATTATTTTAGCCGGAAGGGTTACAGTTTTCTCTACCGACAGTATACATTTTTTTCAAGCACTGTATGCTAACTCGGTACATAATGTTTAATGCATAAAGCAAATAGGTAGAGTATTTAAAAAATCATAAATAAAAATTTACTTTTTTTATAAAATAATATTTGATAATATTTGAACTGGAAACTGTCTCGTGAGAATTTTTTTATTAAAATCCATCAAAAAAAAATTCTTAGCATCATCTTTTGGATTATTTTATCTTCAATAAGGATGCAAATTACATCTTGTCATCCTCGAAAAGCCTTTAAAGCTCAAATCACTTAAAGTAAAGACATTGCTTGACATTTGAATAGAAGTGTTGTGACTAGATTGGCTTTCGACATATTTTCTGTCATTTTACGAGTGAAATTGCACTTCACCGTCATATGAAAACCTGTCTATCTACCATAAACAAACTAGAATCTTGTACTATCGAATTTACTGTCGAGCTTTTGTGAACTTTCGAGACATTATCAACAAATATACCACAACACTAGCCCTTGCCAACAAAATTCACGACAGCATATCGTTGTTGTGTTGCAGAATGATTCAGTGAAAAATGTTTAGAATGAACAGACACTTTGTCAATTGTCACAAAACCTTGTGACTACAGTCTAATTGGCTTGTCTTCTATTTGTTACAGTGCGTATTGTACCTGTGGGCATTGAAATTGTGCCATCCAACTACACTGTTCCTACTCAGAGGCAACCATGAGTGCCGGCATCTTACAGAATATTTCACATTTAAACAAGAATGTAAGTATTATCATTTGTTATTAGCATTATCGTACTACTTTCGTAAATACATAGATATGCCATTTAAATGATAAAGTCGATGATAATAAATAGAGAAGGATTTTGTATTAGTTAACAAATATTGCAAAAAAAATATCAGATTCTTGCTATTGCTAATAAATAAAAAAATTAGTTTGAACAATTCTTTAATTATTAATTACTTCATATATCAACAAGAAATTAAAAAAAATTTTTTATGCTCACACTTGCATATTTATTGTTGCTTAATCAATTCTTTTCATTGTTAACAGAAAAATCCTTTTAAAAATTGTTAAATATTACCAAGCCCTTTTCTAAATGTTATCATAATTAGAGCATGTTAATGCAGTGATTTAATATAATAAGATTTTTTAAACAAAAATATATCTTTCAAATCTAATATTTATGTTTAATATTCTCTGATGCTCTTTGGAACATTGTAGATAATCATATTTTATTAAAATTATTCTAAATATTAAAGAACTTTCTACAATTTTTTAAAAATTTTGTCTAGATATTCTTCTTTATAATAACTTTAAATGATAGCTGCCCTTTAAAAATTAAGCTAGTTCACTACATAATTAATTAAAATAATTATAGTATCCATATATGTCTCTAGGAAGTATTGTGAGTAATATTTTGATTACTATCAATTACGTAGCTTGGATAAAAATAAACCATGAATGTGACAATCTAAAAATACTAAATATGATGATTATTTTAGTATTTTTAAAGCTGCTTATATATGAGTTTATTCAAATTTCAGAATTGATCCCTCACAAGATTTTTTTTTTGTGGAAGTTAGGGAAGAGAAATTATCCATAAATCTCATTCTGATTCACTGCGAAAACTTTTCCAACATCTGGTTATTTCAAAAACTTTCAATTCTTGTTGTTGAGTGCTTTTTTAAATACCTATCGAAGCACACATAAAGTTTATTGCTGTAGTCATTGTATATTGTATTTACTTATTTTATGTGAATTTTTATTGGAATTCACGTTGAAAAAACAAATTATTTATAAAAATAAAAAAATACAATCTTTTTAAAGGAAAAAGTTTTATGCTTTTTAACAGAAAAAAAGTACCTTAAAATCAATATTTATTTAATGCTTTATTTGGTTACCTTTGTTTAAAGTAAAATTGAAATTTTATTGAGATATAATTGAATACGGAAATTTTCATCCATTTTCGATAGTTTATTTACCATTCTTTTTCCTCTTCACTTATGGAAATATTTTTATTTTATCTTATATTCTATTGTTTATTATTATTTTTATTAAATGCTAAACACGTTGGCATCACTGTACAGAAAATATGCTCAACAGTTTTTATGTTTACAATACAAATACGTTGGATTTACGCCAAAGAAACGTGTGTTGGTGTAGGTTTGAAAAGACTATTTCACAATTCTCGAATTTTGAAGCCAAAAACTATTGTTCACACCCAAGCTACTGCACAACTAGAGACATAGGAAATTTAGTCACGGATGAAGAATGACTTTATAGTTCATTTTGAAATATTGTACTCAATTCAACGATCAAAATAACTATCTATATGAATATGTACAACTTCTTTTTATAATATACATATAAATAATTTGAAAAACTAATTGTTCTATTATATAAGATCAAATGAGTAGGAGTTTTCATATCGAAAGTCGAACAGCATCATCTGAACGAATAAAATATCTGAAAATAATACTAAACAATATAAAATCACACTAACATGACAATTTCATATCTCTTCTATTTCTTGTGTTTTGTCAAATCCCATTCATCAATCGGTACGGCCTATTTGGTGTCTGTTTTATTGACGACAAATTCTCCCGAACGTCACTTGCTGACTGAGAAATTTACGCGCGTTTCAGTTCTTTTTTATGTCTATTTTTTTTCTTCTCAGTTGTCACATGTCAATAGACATCGATAGTAAAAATAAGAAATAGAAAATGAAGAAAAAAAAAACGCTACTCATAAAGATAAAATGTAAAAATAAAAAAGTTAATCACTCAAGTTATTTTTTAAAATTTTTTTTCTCCATAAAAGCAATTAGTCTCTTTAATATTTAGCTGAAAATTTCAAAGTTTTCTCTTATTTATTACTTTGAAGTTAAAAAATTTTATTTTCGCTTTGTGATATAATTTCTTTGCACCGTAAGCTATTTCACAAGAACGTCGGGGTTTTCTTTTTAAACTTATTTTAAATCTCTTTCTCGACTTCAAACGTCTTTATTGCACTAATCTGCAATGCGAAAAATCAAGTCTATTTGGAGCATTTCCACCAGGACTAATTAATGAACTGAATAATTCAATGATTTCAGGCAAAATAAAATACTCGGAGAGAGTGTACGATGCGTGTATGGATGCTTTTGACTGCTTACCACTAGCCGCCCTAATGAACCAACAGTTCCTGTGTGTTCATGGTGGTTTATCTCCAGAAATTCATCGTTTAGAAGACATCCGGAAGGTAAGCTTGATCCACCTCGAAACCACAAGCCATTTGTCCATCACCTACAACTACTCTATATAATATTGCCAATTAATAGTCGTGAATTAAATAGGTATCCTACTTAATATCAGCCCGATAAATGATCTCTAGTATTTTCCTCATTTTAAATGAAACGATTGACGAGTAATTGGTTGATCTATTAAAATACTATGCAAGCTAAAGTACAGAAACGGAAGTGAACCAGGAAGCTAACCCAATGTGCTGCCACCTGCTCTATCGATCGTCTACCTACGCTACCTTTCATGCACACCACCAACACAAATACATTCCTCTTCATGCTTATCTGTTATGTATTCATTTTTATTCAACACAAATTCAGTTGTTCATGATATCAGGATTTTTGCCAATAGAATTAACGAACTCTGTGTCATTCTAACACTGTAAATCCTTTGACCCTTGTCAAAATTTTCCGCTTAAAGTAATCCCAGGTTTTTTTTATCTACGTTTCAAAGCTATTCATTAACTATCTGCATTTAATTCTTACGGATACTTTACATTGCTTAAGAGAATAAGAAAAAATTTCCCATTTTCTTTTTCTACCTCTGGAATTGACTCAGTATTTTATTGAATATTTTCCCTTACTTTCTTGGCTCTAACAATTTTTTATGTTCTATATAACAATACCCTTTTCATGCACGAAATTTAAATGTTACTTTTGCAACATAAAATTTTTTATTATCAGAGTAGATTGAAGTTACATGTCTTTGAGTACTCATATTATTATTTCATCTTGAGTGTGCATAGAAAAAAATAAAATTTTCGAATTTAAAAGCTTTTTAGATTTTAAGAAGCAAGAAAAATGTCATTACAAGAAAAAAAATCTGTGCATATTTTTTTATTACATCAGATCGATGTAATGAAGATTTTGCTTGTTTAATGAGGGTTTTTTTCAGACAAAATTATTTTTTTTTATCTCTGATTTTTTATTTAAATAAAATATGGTTAAGAATTGGTTTCCTCGAATTTTAAAGCGACTCTTTTGTACTAAAAAAAAAAAGAGAAAAAAGTTTTTGTCAATCTTTTCCGGTAAATATTCTTCTTTTGTATTGAATTTTCTGTTTATTCAAAAATTTTGGTATGCTTATAAACTTAATTGGAGCATGTGAACATAAAGAATTGAATTGGTGATCATAAAATAGAGGAGTTTCATAAAGTTAGAAAAACTGAATTATCTGAAAATAAATTTTTAACTAATTTTTCTCGTTGACCTGATTTTTTTTTATGTAATTCTAAAGTCTGCTTGGTGAAATTGCGTATATGTAAAGAAAGACATAAAATAGTTAAAAGTTCGGTCGTCAACTTAGCTATTTTCATGCTTATTGTCGCGGAAATACTTTTTCGCATTTTTCTCTATTTTATGTTCGGATAAAAAATCTCATAGTAGCATCGAATGGGATACTTATCGCATTCCGGAAATGTGCAGCTAAGTCCCTTGGCCTCATTCACATTGCATATATCGAAAGGATAGTGCAAGATAACATTTTCCATTGATATTTTTCCTCCTACTCGAGATACGTGCTCTGATCTGTGAATCTTTTCCATACTATACATAAAACGAATACTTGGACTTGATACCCGCTTCTGATGAAACACTGGCGAATCTTGAGGTTTATTTTTACATCAGTTCATAATTTTTTTTATTTTTTTTTGTTATGACTTCCTTGAATGCTTCTGTGGTAGATGCATGTCAAACTATCCGTCAATAATCAAAACTCTTTGGCTCATAACATTGATGCAATGCCAAACAAACATTTTATGTTCAAATCAAAATTTACTTGGCTCTTTAAAAGAAGTATATTATCATTTCCATCTGTTTCTGACATTTAATTGTTAAGTAGCTCAAGACCATTTAATCTGATAATAATGTTAATTTAACATCACAGTAGACAAGTGAACAAGAAAAATCTTGACTAAATAAAAATTTAAATCCAAGAGCAAAAGCTTCAGGCGTATTTATTATTAAAAATCTACTTCTTTCATTAAACTCAAATAAGATGAATAAATTTCCATACAAGCAACGAAAATTCTTCCATTTGTATGAATAATAAGCCCTTAATTCCTCTCAGTTCTTATTCACATTTCAAAAGCATACAGAATGTAAAAAAATGTTATCTGCTCAGAAGTGCATTACCCAGACAATATAAGCTTTTCATTAAAATATACAATTCATTGGGAATCGGAAATAAATCTTTTCCCACGTGACATAAAATCTTTAGACCTTTTCTATCTCCATGAATTCCTATCATAACACACAATAAAAAAATATTGACATATTAAAAACACATCGGGACAAGAATTAAGTATCTAAAGATATAGAAAAATCCACATCATCTAGTGGTTTATCTAAATGCTATCGTATATAATCCTTATACGTGACAAATTTATTTGAACTTTATTCAAAAAGGGAAGATAGATCTAACCCAAGAGACAGTGGAATGTATCATGGGGGAATAAAGATAACCGATGAATGCCGGAAAATACAATATACATGTAAAAGGAACAAAGAGAATGAGGAGGAAGAGACCTCTTCTTCCTTCAATGTTATATAAGCATATATTATTCCTTACGCTCGTGTCTAAGAGTCAGCTTCACTGGCCCGTTGAAGTGATATGAATACGAAATTGGGTACGAAATGACCTAATGGTCTACTGGGGCGTTATTTGCCTCCAAATTTCGTTCTAGTGACATGCTTACGTTATAATTTCATACCTTTACATTCGGCACACATAGAAATTGCTTAATAACAATTATCGATTTAATATACATAATTATAAGCTTTATTCTACCTGTTACCTGTGTAGCTATTGATTATCTTATTAAGTTAATACTATGTAAATTACTGTTATTGAATAATATTTTCAAAATATTATTTTTAGTTTTGCATTGTTAGAGAGAAGAGTCACACACGCGAAGAAGAAAACATGACTAAGTACTTTGCTAAGCAATAATATATTAATTTAAATATTCCTTTCATAGAAATGAGTTTAAACATGGACGATAATTGTTAACACTGTATCAGTTACTGTGCAGAACTTTTACAGTTGCTGCAATAGATGGTAATCAGTACTGTTTTAAATTCATTTTTATGAAAATAATTTTCAAATTTAGATATTATTATGTACCATAATACTGAATAATGTTTGTATTTTTCATATTGGGTTAACATACTAGTAGATGGACAATTAAGACTAAATAATGGGTAAAACAAAAAATTAGTATTAATATAAAATCAATCTATATTAAAAGAGTTGAATATTTTTTCATCTTAATGTCTTAATTTTGAGATAAAAAAATGTCGTAATGAGTTTAAATCTTTATTCTTTTATAATCTGAACGATTTGCCCACCTTTTGGATGGCGTTCATCTATTAGTCTATTTGCCCTGCACTGAAAAATCAGTATTCCTAAATTAAAAGTAATTTAATTCCTCATCATAATGATATTGACATTACACTGGTGTCAGTGTCATTATAATTATGAATGAAATAATTCGTGATCTGGAAATATTATTTTTTAGTGTAGTTATAATAAAGAAGAATTGTTATTAATTTTTCTATAAATCATTTGAAACCCTAGGGGGGCTTTTTGTTCTAGTTATCCTTGATAAGATAATAGGTTTAGAATATAATTAGAATAAATGTATTACATTTTTTGTTATTAACTACCATTGTTTTCTATCAACTGCTATAAATTCATTTCAATTATATGTAATATCGTTTATTAACAGCTTGCCTGAATATTAAGATCCGATTAGTGAACTGTTAATAAATATTCAAACTAAAATCTACTCAATGGTATTTTATACTGATGCAATATTGTAGGTTTATTTAACGTCAAGATATGATTCATTAGAGTCTTTTTCAATAGAGGAATTATCATGGATTTCAATGAAATATTTTTTCTTTCTCTTTATTATTAATAATATTTATATAATTGGCTATTTTTATTTTATTTTCTTTGATTTAATCAAGAAATTAATTAGTAAAACATTTTAAATGTTCGATAGAAGAGAAAAGAAAAAGAGTAAATGATTGATTTTAAAATGAAATGAAAAATTAAAAATCTATTAAACTTTTAATTAATTAAGGATATCACATGAAGTCTAAAAAATGGTGATGAAGAAAAGTTTGCGTTAAATAAATTGGTAGACTATGAGTGAGATAAAAAATTAATTCAGTAAAAATGAGGTCTAAAATAAATGGTCGGAAATATTTGATCACAAAGATAAACAAAGACCGTAGAAAAAATTTGATGGAATAAAGAACATTCCATTAGCTAAATAAGATAAATGTGAGTTGAATTACGTTTGCTTTAGGCAAAAGGAAAAAACATAAAATTATTTCCTGTTTTATTTTGCACGCCATTTTCTCTGAATCTTTATCAAATAAAGCAGTAAATTGTTATATATCCTACGCATCAATCTGAATTTGGGATTAATCAATACAATTTTAGATATATTATGATAATTATTAAGAAAACAAATTCTAAATTGATATTATTTCCTTTTCAGTTGGATAGGTTCAAAGAACCACCTGCTTATGGACCAATGTGCGATTTACTGTGGTCTGATCCTTTAGAAGACTTTGGAAATGAGAAGAATGCTGAACACTTTTCTCATAATAGTGTACGGGGTTGTTCGTACTTTTACAGGTGAGCTGTGTATAACAATAGAGTGTTTAAAATGCGTTAAGCATGTTTAATAAGCATAGGTACCATTTGCATGATTTTGCATACGTGAAAATCTTAGAGATTAGAATAATTAGCTCCAAGTTCCAGTGTATAAAGCCAGGGCTTGCGCAGCATGCGAGGTCATCCGACGGAAAAGTTACTGGCACGATAACATGAGTGGGTTAATTTTACCCCGAAGCGATAAGAGGACTCAGGTTGCTCAAGTGTTTGTAAATTATAATACACCTTGACGAATCATAATCGTTGGTAAATTACTACTTGAGAAGAATTTAATTTGTTCATTATAAATAACTATTTTTGTCTATTTATTTTTAAAGGCCAGCTAAAAACGAAATTCATTTTTATTTTTACTCACACTTGTTTACAATGGACAAGTTCAACACTGAGAGTTGCTAATGTATATGTATATATCTATATATTTCAAGCTTAAATTGAACAATTAACATTTCACGAATGAATGAATCGTTTGAATTTCAATGGAAATTAGTAAACAATATTTATATCAATTTTAGGAGAATTTAAATTCTTCTTTCATCCTCTATTTTAATGATGTGTGTATAGAAAAAATATTATTCATACAAGAAAATAGATTTTTTTATCAAAGTATACATTTTTGTAAATTTGGAATATTTTTAAAAATATTAATGATTTGGATTATTAAAGTTTCTGATTGATAGAATTTTTAATAATATGACTGATATGAATTTGAGATGAATAATAAAGTTATTTATTATAAAAGCTGTCGATAATTTAGAATTCAAGAAAGATTTATTTACATACATATTTTCTCATACACACATGGGAATTTTTCTAGAAAATTCTATAAATGCTTTAAGGATCTTAAATCCGTAAAGATCTGAGGAAAACCCTATTTTTGTAGAATAGTAAGTTATTTAACAATGTACGTGCTTGCAACTCATTCAACATACTTATTATAATAATTTATGCTCTCTATACTGGCGTCATAAAATCTAATTTTATAATTCTGGTAAAGAAGCTTTTTTTGCAAGCTCAAATTATCTGAAAACGATGATTCCAACTTTGAAAAATAAACATGGAAATTAGATAGGAAGTGACAAATGTGATTTTGAAAAAAGGAATCTGAAAGAAGATAAAAATGATGATGATTATAGAAATGCATCGATGGGGATATTTTTACAATTTATTAGAATCAGTATCGATTGATTCATTACTGTGAAAATAAGATCCGAAAAAAGATTCATAAGGGAATCAGTACACGTAAAGGAGATGAAAGAAAGAGTCTCAACCGAGGTACAACTCGAGTCTCTGGGGAAATTAAAAATAAAAAATGCATTCCCTTAGGTGTTTTTGTGCGTGTTTTGGCTTGTTAGAGATGAAATTAAACTTCACGCATGTAATTAATTTTAATAAATTAAAGCATTAATTTTCTCGTTTAATAGAATCAAAATGGCACGTATAGATTGTATAATATTGACTAATATCATTTTAATTTCTATTAGGGGTAATTTGTATCAATATTACATTGTTCTCTTATAGATCGCAATAATAGGAAATTGAAATTTAGTACAGTAACACATGAACAAAAGTTTATTCATTTTAATTATATTTTGTAAATTTTTGAGATTTTCCTCTGGAACCATCAAGTAGCAATTAAAAATTTTATGCAAAATTTAAGTTAAATAAATAACAAAGTTTATAATAGTTTTCTCCCAACGTTAAAACTGAATTAACTTATTCAAAAAATTTGACAGAATTAAAACCATAAACTTTAATTAAATTAGAAAAATATTTTTTTATATTTTTCTTATGATATGAAAAAGTTTATTCAATTTTTTTATACGTTTTTATTTGTTGAATTTGAAAGTTTATACCGTTTTTAATAATATTGGGGAAGTATTTTCTGTAAAAAAAATTCTTTCTCAAAAAGTTTTTGAACTAAAAATTACATTAATTTTTTTTTCAATTCAAACATAAAAGTTCTTCCGAAAAGAAAAATTTTTTTTTATTTGAAAATTGAAGTAATGAAAATTTTTAATTTAATAAATTTAAGGAGTATCAAAACAGGGAATTGAATTATTTCCATTTCACGTTATCTATTTAATTAACTAGAAAAATATAACACAGCCATGAGAAAGCTGCATATGAGACAATATAATATTCTCGACGCAAAAAATCATAAATCAACTCTTTCAAAAATAATAAATGACCTAGATGGTATTTTAATTACTGAAAAATAATCCATTTATTAAAAGCCAACTATTGATTTTCAAATGAATAAAAAAATTGCATTTTTATCATTAAGATCACTTTATTAGTAACACAAATACCTTCCGGTTGCCTATAGGTAGGCAGAGAAGCAAGAAAGAATATAAATCTAATGACAATTTACTAATTACCTTACAAATAATTGAGGTTTACTAAAGAAAAATATTTTGTAAGGAAGCTTGTAATAATTGAACAAATGTCAGCCTCAAGGTATTTTCAGCTTTCCAAGCAATATTAATGGTTCTATTTTATCACAATATCCTCCGTGTAATTGGCTACAAAAAGAAGACACGAATGGTTGAGTTACGAGTCCGATTGAATGTGGATCTACACTACTGACAGTCTTACCATCTTAAATCCCGCTCGGATCGGGAAAACTTGCGAGCTACGATGAGAGCAATATTTTTACGTCAATCTATTGCAAAAGATTCATCTAGTCCTCTTTGCTGTTTTTTTTTAATCTCGTGTTATCATTCGCAGACCTTGAACAACTAAATATCGACATTCACAAGCTTACATTTTTGTTTTTAAAATGATCTTTTAATTTAATTAATTTTTTGCATAGTTTTAATCCAATTCATTAATTAGTTGTTTACAAATAGTTAATTAATATTTTTAAAAATGGAATTATTACATTACACTCGAAGAATTTTAATCAAATATGAATATTTTATTTAATCAACTCAATTAAATTATTAAAAATATTCCCAACATCAAAGAAAAGTTTTGACATTCATTCAATTAATTTCATTTGTGTTTTCAAGAATTTATTGAAAGATTTCTTTTTTAGAAGTCTGTTGTTTAAATTGAATTATTAAATGAAAAATGTTTATTTTCAATGGTTAAAGTTGTACTGTTCGTTTATCATTAAATTAATTTGCTCTAAAAAATAAAGATAAAAACAAGAATGGAGTAATTCATGTAGAATATAATTTTAAGCATGAAATTTCCATAATCCTGAAGAACATTTGTATATAAAGTTGTTAAAATTAAAATGTTTTATCCAAATAGCTATGCAGCGTGTTGCGACTTTCTACAAAACAACAGTCTCTTGAGCATCATAAGGGCGCACGAGGCGCAGGACGCTGGTTACCGTATGTACCGTAAATCCCAAACGACAGGCTTCCCATCGCTCATCACTATCTTCAGTGCACCCAACTACCTCGATGTATACAACAATAAGGTATGCTATTAAACTTTTAATCATTCTACTTCTCTCTATGTCAAAAATACAACATAACCAACTATTCGTTCCATTCATGAATACTCATGCTAAATCAATAATGAATAATTATGTTACAGAAATTTGCATCAACTTAAATTCATATTCATGTAACTGATGACGAATTTAATTAGTATAACATTACCAGTTTTATCTTTTTCTTCTTTTTATTTGAATCCTATGAATGAATGATATTAAAAATTTTTAATAAATTAAATTCAAAGAATATAGTTTAATTAATATCCAATTTTCATTAACAATCCTTTGATAAAACATTTCATTATTAATAACTTTGTTTATGTATAATGAAAAATTATTTTTCTTTTTGTTGAATTTTTGATGATATTAATTGTGGTGATTAATAATCAAGAGTATTTAAGTAACAACTTGAAGAACAAACGATTTACTAATTCATTTGCCATTTATCTCGTTCTAAACATCTAAAAGTAGAATACGGTTTTTTCATACAAAAAAAAAGCAGAAAAAACAAAGCAAAGACTTGTCATTCTTTATTCTTGACTCTTTCCATCAGGCGGCCGTGCTCAAGTACGAGAACAACGTGATGAATATCAGACAATTCAACTGCTCGCCACATCCATACTGGCTGCCGAACTTTATGGATGTATTCACGTGGTCTCTACCATTTGTCGGAGAAAAAGGTAAGAGACGATTTTTCAATGACACTTTGTAAAAAACTCCAACTATTCAGTCGTATCATCATTGTGGATTCAAGAAAAACCGGATGAAAAGTTCACTGGTTTCATACATCATCTATATAACTCTTATACATAACATCCTAGTTTATTAATCGATTAACCGGATGTAAAGTCAAGATTACCCTTTTTACCTCTATCTAGCTTATCGTTAAACTTCCAAATGAATAACCAGTTATAAAACACCTTTTATTTGATCCACAGTCACAGAGATGCTCGTTAACGTACTGAATATTTGCTCGGACGATGAGCTCATGAGCGATGGAGACGACGCCCTCGAAGAAGGTAATATACGTTGTCATTTTATTTTAAGACATTTTTTGTTATTTATTTTATAGTATTCCTATCAATTTTTAAACGAGTTCAAATACTTGATGCTCTTTGTGCAAACTGGAAATTATCTGAAGCTGGAGTGAACAGATCAATAGATGAATACGATCCAGTAGATAAATAAACCATGTAAATTAGAGAAAAGTTTCATTTCAAATTGTAATCTCAGAGTGTTTGATCATAGTTATTAAACATATTTATTTTCTACTTTACATTAATTATTTCTATTTGTGGAATTCATTTGTAGATGGCTACGTAAAAGTATCATCTTACAATGTTCTAATTCAAATACAAAAAACAAGGTTTTCCATTAAGATTAATAAAAATTTAATGAAGTGCACATTTTTACTATTAGAGTCATCATAACTTCTTGACAAAAATTAAGTAAACTAAGAATAGTCAATGTTTTTTTTTTTTATTTTCTAATGAGCTTATTGAATATCTCAGAAATAAGATAAGTAGATTTTATTTTTTTTTATTCATTCATTAAATTTTGTGGAATTTTTTTCTAATTTATCAACTGGATTTATTCATCAATTCCGCATTGGGAGATGTATTTTTTATTTAGAAAATTTTAACTATCAATTGAAGACCTCTCTTAATGTATTGATCAGTTTACCCAAACCCACAAAATAGAAATAGCAAATGTTTCCAAAATAAAAATTGTTGACATTTTGTAAACAAGAAATAATGCTGATAACTAACGTCGAAATTGCAGCAAATCAGATATTACCATTTACTATGATTAAATTTTGAAGAGAATTCATGACCCATTTGCAATCTCTATACCAGCAAATCTGTTTGAATTCCTTCATCATCATACAGGATGACAAACATAAATGTTTCCATAAATATATTTAAATACTACTTCAAAAGCTGTCATTGAGTAATATCACTATTACTGATCAAATAAATTTTAAGTTTTAAAATAATAATTTAATCATAAATGAAGTAAAAATAGATAAACACCATCAATTCTAAAACGATAATAATTCTCTTTTTCCATATTATCTGCTGGCATGGACAGATGGTAAGAAAACGTTATTCTCGACTGTGTCTATTTATCACATCATTATCAACAGCTTACCATTAATCATTGATCATCTCATTACATATCATTACTATTTAGCATCCATAGATCGTATGAATGCATCGATTGACTTTTTTTCTTTCATTTTTTTGTATGTAAACACATCATAAATTTTGGATATGCGCTCATGCACATACATTTTTCCGATGTATCGCTCTTGCTATTTTATCTCTTCTTCTTCTTCTTCATCATATATATTATCTCTCAATCTATTTTTTATCTATATACATATTCCTTCTAAATGATATGCTTTGTGTATCAAAGTAAGCCTTTGGGCTCCTGGGTGCTCGACACTTGTATAGCATTTCAACCATATTTTTTTACTCATATTTATTTCATTATATTTAAACTATAAAACTTTAGAAATAATCGATGAAAATAAATAAATATCTCTGTATATATTATGATATAATATATGTATATTACTATAGAATTTTCTCCATCAATTTTCATTTCGATATTTATTTTGCAATCGCAAGTATATTATTTTTGTGACTATATGTATTGTAAAACTGTTTATTAAAAAAGAAATTGTCATCTTTCTTTATCGTTAGTGCAAACCATGGACATTGTTATAGAAAAAAGGGATAAATTATTAGAAATGATTCAGTTTAATGCTCGTTCCTACTTCTCCCTTTATACCTGCTATAATTGAAGTGACCCTTTTACTTCCACAGCGAGTTTTATGCTCTTCTCATATTTTTTGCACGTTTATGACACGCTTTCGTTTGCACATTTCGTCAACGACTGCGTGGATACAATTAACTATTTTTCTAATTGTTTGTATTCAATCTTCTCCAATACAAATTCTTTCGTCATTTCTTCTTTTATTTTTTCTAAATAAATTTTGCAAAACAAATCTATTCTTCAATTATTGTATTCAATTCTAGTGAATTAATTAAAAACTAACATTTCATTAATTAGATTATTTAACGCGTTCAATTTAGACTTGGGTGAAAGAATGTTTATCAAAGTATCAAAGATATTCATTTTTTTGAATAATTATGATAATAAAAAAAAAAGAAAATTGAGAAAAATGCAAAGTTAAAAATTATACACGCCCAGATTTGCACTGATTGTCTTTTATCGTACTCCTTCTTTATTATATTTGTGTCAATCACACTGGCCTTGGACTCCTCCTATATCGGCACGACACTATGCTACTACTACCTCTACTACTTCTACTACTACCACTCAATACTCCGTTGATACGGCAAACTCCAACCCCATTAAGTCGCAGCCAAAGTCGTTGTCCAAAAAAAGAATGGTAAGTCCGCTTGGAAGACTTACATTGATGCAAATTAACGCAAAAACGTGATTTAGAAGTATTCGTAATATTTCATGAAAAGACAAATTAAAACACCAGCTACTAAATACAATGATCAAAAATAATAATTCAATCGAGACGTGTTTGAATATCAGACTAAGAAACGCGTGTTCACGTTTCGTGTCGTTGTCGCTAATCAGATCATTGCTGTCGGACCCAACTGCTTTGTTGCTGTATTTTTTTATTGATCAAATACTTAATTATTTATTTCACATAAATTGACACTTTTTTATATATCAATTACTGTCTATTTTCACATCAGTTTTAACGCATATTTATTATTTGCGCCATTTTTAAAATTCATTATTGTTTGCTTATAAAATATATATATATGACATTTGTCTGTATTCTAGAATATTTATGCAAAATTTTTCATTTGCAATTCATCAACTCTCCTTTCTCTCTGTATTTGTATCAATTTTGTATTAAATTTTGTTTTATATTTATTTTCTCTATAGTTATATTACTTTTTTTATATTTCATTTGGATTCAAAGATATAAATAATCTGATTCCTGTTTTATAAATCGTGGGCACAATATTATTAATGTATATAAACGGAATAAACGCGGTACCAGTAGTGCGACTTCGTCACGAACGTTTCACGCGAATATAAAATTTGTTTGTTGTTTTTTTTCTTTTTTTTTATCGATAACGAACTTATATATCGTTTAGAGATATTTTTTAATCATTCCAGTAAATCGAGTTTGAATAATCTCTTTTCATTTATTTATTTATTTATTTTTTTATCGCATTAATTATCGTACAGGCACTGAATCGTGTCCACGTTGCACGCGTTTACATGTTCACTTACTCACAATGTGTCTCACAATATTTAAATTCGTCCGATGATGAAAAAAAACATATTTGTATTATGTTTTTATTTAATTCCGTTATCTTTGAACGTTAAAATTACCTAATTAGTGACAAATAATGGATTTGTTTAAAAACAAAACTGACAAAACTAAAAGATAAATAGTTTTTGAATTTTTTTTTTTCGTTTGAGTTTTTTTTTTAGTCCACTAACCTCGTTTGTCGTGTTGATAAATAGAGTTTGATTTTTTTCTTTGTTTTTAATGCTTTTGTGAAATTATTAAATATTCAAGATTCTCAGGGAAAGTAAATATATCATCAGAATATAGAGAAAATATTTTTTGTACGAAAAATTAATGTTATGGTTTTGTAATGAATTATTTGTTATTAATGTAAGGTAATACTTCATGAATATTCAAGAATATTATAAGTAGATTTCTATCAGATGTTGACTTGAGATAATCAAATATTAGGGTAGTAATATTTGAAAAATGTTTAAAGGGTTTCATATTATTGGAAATTTAAAAAAAAAACCGAAACATGAATAGTAATCTTTAGAATAATTATTTTTTTTAAGAATAAAATTTTTTTATAAATAACTTTATCTTGTTCCAAATTAAAAAAAAAAACTTATCACAATTAAATCAGAATACAATAAATTTAAATTAAAAAGAGAAGATACCTTAAATTCGAATAAGTTAAAAAAGTTGATCGTTCTAGATAACTCTACAAACCATTTCTCACGAATAAAACTTAAAGAAAGTAATTAAGAGTCTTTCAGGGTGGTTTTTAATCATGAATATATTTAAATTATTTTTACTAAATTTCTTTACCTAAATTCTCAACCTTATAATCTAAATATCAGTTTCTCTACAGAACCACAAAATTGATTTTTATGAATAACAAAAAACAAAAAATATTTTCTAACGAATTCTAGAGATATTTTATTTTCTATAGAGGTACGTATTGCAAAAGCTCGTGTGACATTGATTTTCTTACTTAGAATACCGTGTTATAACGACTTATTTGACTGAGAACAAACTATAGTGGACAGCCGCAAGTTATTCGCACTTGAGTAGCTTTCTGGAAAACCACCAGGTGTACACAGGTCTGGTCCGGGGACGCGTATCCTAATCGATGAAACCAATACAACTCAGTGTTTCTGAAGATAAGAGAAAGCCGCGGGCATCGATCAACCCCTTTGAATCCCGGGTTTGTGTCCCCTCCATCTACTACTAAACGACTCGGTGCGTCTAAACCATCCCCACCGAGGCTGTGCTGTCATCCCTCCTTAATCTCTTTGCTCTGGATATGCCCGGGCTAGAACCGTACATGAAGAAAAATGAGTTTGATTTTTTATCTACTTTTGAATTATTTGCATTCAAACTTTTTAGTTGATTAAACTCGCACAAACTTGATTTTATTTTGGATTATAAAATAGAAAGATTTGTTCTATATTCTTGGTAATTTCCACGGATAATTAAAAACTGTTTCTGCGTCGAAAAATATTTAAGTACAAAAAGCTAATAGATTATATAGCAATGGCTTTTGATTAGAAACTAAATGGAGATTCCAATTTTGATACAAAAGTTGACATTAAAAAGCAATTGGAATCAGATGGGATTCTGATAGAACTATCAATTCATATCGCTTGAAAATTACATTAGCAACTTTGTGCAAGTATGACTTCAAATATTAACAACAGATAATTGGATTTTTTTTTATATTTCAATTGATTAAAACTTCAAAAGTTACTTTTAAAAAATTCCCATTAGTTTATTTATAAAAATAATTTGTAAACATTTTTTTTTCTAATAATAAGAATAAGAGAAAATTGAAATTCATTTTTCTTCAACAAATTGTACGTCGTGAATCAAAAATTCTTGATCGTTTCTTATTTCCATTTCCTTATCTTATTAATTCACATTTCTATCTTGTTTTTAATCCAATTAAAATTACAGCTCATAAATAATACAAAATCTAGTGAGTTTTCAGAAGTAGTTTTAATCTTGTACATACTAGGTAAAATGAAGTTTTAATTATGACATACATTCATAACTAGCTTCACCATAATTATAATTTTACTACTTTTTCTTTTTTCATTTACAAAGTAATCGCGTTGATAGAAAATTTATTAATCAAGTTGCACGTAACTTAGTAACTCAAATAAAATGTAAATATCCCTTATTCATTAGCAAATTTATTCCTGATGCTCGTTACGACCTCGTAAGCTTGTGCAAGAAGTTTTCTCTTTGTACCATCTCCAACTTAATGTCACCCGATGTACCATTTTTGATTTACGAGTTTTTCTTTGCGCACGAATAATCCTTGTAGGATACACGAGTCACTTGATTCGAGAGCAGTAGTTTTCTCTTCTTTAGTCAAGAACGTCGAGGGTCGGAAGAGCAACTCGTTTCCTCTTGGCGAGTAGTCTAAAGGAATATAAGTCTTGAAGAAAGAAAATGTGACAATTCACAATAAAATACTTTTCTAACATCACTAAAATGTTACCTGCACTTGAATATGACGACCCTCAACGTATTTGAACATTTTTTTATTAATCAAGTTTTCTCTTTTGAGAATTTTTTACAGGAAGCTTCTATATAGGTGTCCTGGAATATGCACAGCTCTGAGAATTTTAAATCTAAGACCAGTCGTCTGATGAATAAAAATACATCAAAACAATGAAATATTTATAGACTTTATTTCAATGTTTCTCTTAAATTCATTATTTATCAGACAACAGTCTCTGAGTAAACTCCATTTTTAATCGTGCAGAATTTTACCAAGTTTGTCTGTGGTAGTTTATCAACAATTAATGAAATTAATTGATAACTAAAACTTAAAAGGGTAAATTCAAGGTAGAATAAATGTAGCAATTGTAGTATTATCCACTGAATTTCTATTATTAAATACTACAATTAAATCCACATTTATTAATTCAAAGGAATATTCACTATTTACTGCAGACAACTTGTTCGATTTTAAAATTAATCCTCACACTAATGAAATACTTCTGTGCTTTCAGTTTGTAATCATTAACGTTTTCAGAATCTCTACTTGTTAAGTAAATTCTATTCGACATAGAAAGCCAAATAAATACAAATCTTGGCTGATAAATATTCATTTTAAACATCAAAATGGTTCTTGCATTTATTAACTTCAAAAAAGACTTTAATATCCTGAAAATTTCTTTGAGATAAGCTATTGTCAATCATTCTGATTTTGAGAGCATCAGATTTTAGACAACTCAATTTGAACTGTAAAATACAGAGATCAACAAGTAACTTGCCAATTAAAATTGCTGTAGGCTTAAATAACATGAAGAATTAAATCAAAATAGGGTGCACCTGTTGCCTAGATTCAGAACAATTTTGAATTTTAATCATACTAGTAAATATGATATGTAATAACATGAATGAATAGTTTAATTACATAATATGTATTAAAATATTTTGAGATCTTTAAACTTTAATGCTAATAGCTAGATTGATTATTTGTTTGTATGTAATATGTAAACTTACATTCAGTAACATAATATTTGGTAAACCAGATGGTAAAAGTTTTATCCAAATTGGATATTAATTAAAACCACTACTCTGACTTTAATTATTGAACTCCAAATGGTGGTTAAAACAGTTGTAGCTTATTTAGAGGGCAATGTTTGGTGTTACTTCAGCTCAAGTTTACTTCCATTTAAAGATGAGTGACTGTCTAGACTATAGAATCATCTTCTTTGGATTTCTGGTTGAAATATCACAGCTAAACAATTCTCTGAGAAATTCATAATTAGAACATCTTTAATAAATTACATTCTCTTGTACAAAGTTATTTTATTTTTGAGAAGCGAAATCAACAAGTTTGTTTTTCGTGAAATTATTTTCAAGGATATTTTAGAGAAAGTTATTAAATGCAAGCAACTTAATAATTGGCAAAAAAAGGAATATTAGCAACAAAAATGGAGCAACTCTTTGTAATGAAACTATAAAAATAAACATAATTATTTTTCATTTATTTTGACTTCTCTAACTTAGAATTTCTAAGGCAATGTAACAAAAATAGAAGAGAATAAATATTTTTGCTGCTCCCTGAAATAATATTTAATTGCACTAGCTTGAGAATGCTACTTATGCTGTGCACATATTTTTTTGTCTGTTCTATGTGTTGTTTTCTTTCCACTTCACTTCTACTACCTTCGCTCTATTACTACTGATATTCGCCGCTGAAACTACTACTCCACCATCACGTTCACCATTGATACCACCATCACCCTAAATCGAAAAATAAACCTCACCAACTATCAAATGAAAAACATGGGCGCAATTGGTGCTGCTCTCACATTCTTGGTACTTCTGTCCTTTAACTCACGACTTGCCGTTGCCGTCACCGTCGATAACCGACCGTATAAACACCTACGTGGTCCAATGGTAACCCAACGTGGTCCAACCCGAATACTACCCCAATAATAACCGCGTACGGTGAGTTTTTGTTATTTATTTTCTCAATAATTAATTTAATGAGCATTTAACTGTACGTGAGAGGCGATATTCAATTAAGAATTCGACGAATCGTTCGAAGATCATAACTTAATTGCTTTTATTTTTATCTATTTAATAAATACTCATGAATTTTAATAAAATAATTGGTACTATTATTTAAAATTTTTAAAAATAGAGAAAAAGGGGGTTTTGATCTCTGTAACGTTTCGTATTTCTCGAATATCCGCCCACCATCCTCTAGTATTAATTGTTAATCCGGAAATATTTTTAGACGTAAACATATAAAATATTTTCAGTTTTAAGAAGATTACCATATCGACTATATATATATTTATGTATATTTTTATATATAGATATGAAATAGTATACACATGTAGTGACGCATGACAATTAAGCACAGAGAATGCATAGTTGTTTAGAGAATAGTGAAAATAAAAAGTCATTAAATTTTACAACAATTTTTATAGACCGGTTTTTATGATGTAAAATTTATTTTTAGTTCATACTAAAGAGTTTAATTGATATAAAAATGCTTGCCATATCGAAAAAAATGCTTTATCAAATATTTATTTCAAATTCTAAGCTTTTTTTTATTAGTATAAATAAAAATTCAATATTCTATTTTTTATCTTTCTCTATTTAAATAATTCTAGTGTAATAGTTGTAGAGAATTAATTATAGATCATATAATAATTTTTTTTTTCCTTCATAAAGTGTAGCAGTTGAGTAAAATAGATAATGTAGTTGCACTTGACGGTTTACTACACATTTGAGTTGATATTAGTAGCAACATATTTCTTCAAATCCCATCAACTCAATGCGTGAATACAAGGTTATCGATTATTATCGAATTAAATAATAGATATCAAATTTCGATTGATAAAATGTACGATAATTTAGGATATGACTTTTACCGGAACTCTCGTCGGATATGGTCAACCTTCCCCACTTTTGTACACTCATTGCTATCTCCCTTTTTATAACAACGTTCGACCACGTTTCCGAAAGTGTCTTTTTGCTCAAAATCGATTAAAAGTAACACAATTTGTTTCAGATACTATCGTTTAAGTTGATACGCAAAAAGTATTAGTTTGTTAAATCATTAAAGTAGTTGTAATGAAATTAAATAACTTTCCAGAAAAAATTTTGAATTTTTTTTTTAGTTTAGTATTATAAATAACTACTAAAAATGTAGCAAAAGAAATTTAAACATAAAGATAAATGATAAAATAGAAAGAAAATAAAAAGTGCAGTATGACAAAAAAAAATATAGATGTATAAAAATAGAAAGTGACGGAAAATGATAATAATGAAAAGTGTCCCCCTAACTGCATGTGCATGTTTTGTATAATGCATCTGTAAAACACTCAGCGAGTGCAGCTTTTGATGCACGCAAAAATTTTTGCGGCGATTGACGCCAATCGTATTTTAACATGTAGTACGTCGATATCACGCTGATGTGTGATATGGATGGAATCGAGATTGAACAATGAAAATGTTATATATTAAATAGTATACACAAATATCCGGTAATTTATCGTCAGTGAATTTAGCAAAAAATTAACAAATAATAGTTGAAATTGAATAGAATATTTCTATTCACTCGATTGATGTAGATAAATTAATGTGAAAAATTTATCACTGTCGATAAATTGCCTCAAGTTCATGGCACAGAATTTATTTCTGTGTCTTTTAATGTAATCAAAATTTAATTGTTTATTCTCTTGGAGCAGGTGCAGCAGCAAATCTACGCAAGGAAGTTATCAGGAACAAGATAAGGGCAATTGGAAAAATGGCCCGAGTATTCTCCGTCCTCAGGTTAATTTATTATATTATTTATACAATTAATATCTCAGAATGTCAATTATAATCTTATTTTATTTTTAAAAAAAATATTCTTTCTAAAAAAATTATCAAGAAATGACTTTTTTAATGGATATAAAAAAAAATTCAAGCTTACTTGTGAATTTTGATTAAACTAAGATGTTGAAACCAATTAATAAATGACTGTTTGATTAGTAAAATTAATTTGATGAAATCGATTTTATAGAAAAAATTAATTTATTAAGAGTCAATTTAATTTAGTTGATGTAAAAAATCATCTAAAATAATTAAATTAATTTTTTTTAGTACATCTCTGTTGTGCTGTTAATTAAATAATCAATAGTAACTTTTATCTATTGTGAAGTAATTATTAAATAAATAATCGTTTGATAAAACGTCAAAGGTATATTTAATAAAATTATAATTAATTACATAAGTAAAGAATCAACTTTTTAATTTTTCTATGTCTCTTTACATATTAAATAATAATAATATATGTATATTAAAAGAAAGAATATTTTTTCATAGCAGTTGTATTTTATTGATTCTCGTTTCTGATGAATATCTGTATACTAGAACACATAGTCATCTACATTATTAATGACTTTTTCTAGATGAGTTTTAAATACTAAAGTTTTGAAAATGTTTCATTTCAAAGACAACAAAAAAATACTCATTACTTTTTGTTGATTTTTATGTTAGAATTTCATGCAAAAATAAAAAACATCTTGCACATTCGAATAACTAAATAAATGACGACAAAGTTAACTTTTAATGAAAATGAATTACTTTTGTTTTTATATAATATAAAAGGGATTACAAAAACAAAGTTGTAGAGTGGAGAAGTTTCTTTATAATTTATTACAAGTTAAGAAAAAAAGAAAAACAATGATCAGTAAAATGTGTTTGTAATACATTATTCATTATTTGTTCAATTTTTGTATCAAAAACTCTATCAGTTTCTTGGTAAAAAAAAAGATTATCAAAGTAATTTTTCAATTTTTGTGTAAATGAGGAAATTGATTAGCCTCAATCTATCAGCATTAAAAATTAAATAAAAATATCTTGATGAAGATAAGGGAAATTAATGATAATTTAAAGTGCATTTTTACTATCAACATTTGTAAATCTTTTAGTCATAAAATTTCCAAGAGATACACTATTTAAAAGAAGATAATAATCACACAAGCGTAGAGTTTGATCCCTAGGGTGACATAAAAAATAATGCCTGATTTTTAAATTGGTATTCAAATTTTATAGAGAGGAGAGCGAGAGTGTCCTGCAGCTTAAAGGTCTTACACCTACGGGTGCTTTGCCCTTGGGAGCTTTATCAGGTGGAAAGACATCTCTTAAAAATGGTAAGATAAAAAACCGTATAAAGATTGCGCAAACAATTTAACTCGGATGAGAACTTGAAAAGATAGATATTGACGTGAGAAAAAATTCAACTTTTATAGCGCTCCAAGGTTTCTCGCCGAACCACAAAATTACGTCGTTTGCCGAGGCAAAGGGACTAGACGCAATAAATGAAAGGATGCCACCACGAAAGGACGCACCACCAACACCAGCAAATGAGGAAAAACCAGTGATAAAACCATGTACTCCTACGGGCGAGAAGCGAGACCAGTGCACGCCTCAACCTCATTCGTGAGTCTCATAAGCGTTCAATTCAAGGTAAAATATTCCGTTTGTTTAAATAACTTTTTGAATAATAAAAAAAAAAAACAACTTTTATTACTGACGTGCTACTCAGTCAGATAAATTAATCAAGTCTTTTTTTCAGGTGACAAAAACGAGATACTACTCTTAATTTAGTCGCCAATCTACATAGCAACTGCTCGTCTCTCCCGGATTAAAAATATTTTATTGAGCTAAAAGAATGAGTAACAAACAAAAAAATACAACAAGGAGTCTCAAAGAATAATTAAGCAGTATGGAGAAAGTAAATGAAGTAGAAAATATGAAAAATGAAAATACCGAAAAATAGAAAAGATCATACGTTACGTATCATCTTGTTTATCATTTTAAAAAATAAAAACCGATTGTCGTAATTTTAAGTATAAAATATGCGCAAGAATTGTATTAAAAGTATATAATATCGTGGTGAATTATAAAACACACCATAGCCAAGAATATATGCATCAAATGTACATGAATGTACATGAATGCATAATTCTTGCACGCGTGCGTGAAGACAAGCGCTAGAACAATGAACAACGCCCACATAATACAGGTGTGAGCATAGCTAGACAAGAAATACCTTGATGTACATGCAAGAGAACACACCCAAGACCAAGTTTCGATTAATTTTTGTTTATCCTTTAACACAACGTTTACCTAATGTACATTTTGGAAGCATCAAAATAGCCGTTCCCAAGAGACGCATGATACACACCTTATGTACATCTGTGTGACACGAAAATGCCAATGACATAATAGTGTATGGTAAAAGGATCCATTTAAAAAGTACACCGCTAGCTGACAGCTGGTCTGTCATCGGTGATGGATTTTCTAATCTCAAGCTTAAATACTAAACAAAAATAATAAAAACTAATTATTTAATATTTAATAAACTAAATATTTCCATTCACACCGAAATAAGGGAATTATGTGTACACCTTAACATAGGTTACAATATATATGCCAATCGAATTTTCACATTAATTCATTATTATTATTATACGCCGTTTGGAGCTCAGTCATTTTGTCTTTCCTCGTTTTTTTGTCTTTAAACTTATGGAGAATAATAATTAATGAATGGGGAAAAAGCTCTCTTGGGCATTTTTTTTGCGATGTTTTAGTCCTTGCATTAATAATCTAATTATAGGAGCTAAAGATTTAAAAGATATGAATTGTTGTAATGAATTCATTGAAAATGTCTAAGAATTTTTCTTACATTTATTTATAATAAAGTAATTAATTGAATTATTTTTTTTCTTTAAAAATTCATTATCATATCTGAGTGTCTTCTAAAAATTATCAAATATTTATACTAAGATGTGAACGTTTTAATGAAAAATGATCAATGTTTTTTGCTTGTGTGTACCTATCGATATCAATTATAATGAGCTTTATTACATTTTTATACTACAAAATTATCCCTCAAGTTTTCTTAAAAGCTCCAATAATTTTCTTTAACTATGTAATCTACTACCTGATTCGTACTGTACTATTTTGTCATTGTGACGAGACTAATGCAGTACTTTTCAGCTAGTAGACCTTTGGGACTAGACACTTATTTTTGTGTGAGTCAGGGGTCTAACAAAAAAGTCAACAATCCAAGTACTTATTGCACTTGGCAGACCACCAAAACTAGGCCACTACCACACAGTCATTGCTGCCCTAAATACAATTTATTTAGTAAATGGAACATAAATTGTCTTGCCATGAAAAATTTTGTATACCATAACATTGAAGGAAAATAAGATCCCCATTGAGATCTAGTCATTCTAGTCTGCGCTAGTTCCCAATGTTTTTTCTCACAAAGTGCAATACAACCACAAGTTGAATCTCAGGTTACTCCTCCACTGGATTGCATTATTTTACTTACATTTTTTGTTCTTTTTTTTATTATTCTCTTAATTGTTTTATTGATAAATGTAATATTACCTCAACAATTCGAGTCTCTAAACGGCGAAAACGATAAAAAAAAAGAATCTCGTGATTATAAGTAAAATATTCAATATAAAATAAAAAATGGGAGGATAAAAAATAGGTTTATAATATTAAGCCATGACACATCGATCCCTTTTATTCAATAGTGCGATTTCTTGCTCGGGAGATGCATTAAATTTATGTTTGCACTCCAGCGATCGAGAAGGGAGAGTATTTAAAACTTACAAAAATTATGAAAAAAAAATAAAAAACCTACGCCGTGCTATATATGTTCATTTAACCAAAATAATCATTGATTTAAGTAATATACTTTTATGTTACAAACTGAATTTCAAAAAATGGGATCGAGTTAATTATCGCATGGTGAAAGTGACAAAAAATAATGAAATAATAATAGTGTTGATCTTTTATGATTTTTAATGTGTGTTCTTGTTATCGAAAATTAATATGGGCACTGCACTATCGAGTGTCATTTGAATTTACTTGCACTGAAAGTGGACTCTTTGCCAAAAATATATTAATCTAAATAAATATCCGCAAATAAAGAAAAAAATGAAACTAAAATAAAATTAAGATTAAAATTATTAGATAAGTCTGAAACTATTTTATTCCCTCTATGCAATATTGTAAAGATTAACAAATATCGACCATATAATTATTCCATTTATTCCACACGTGCTGAGTGAATGATTACATTCCCTCATTTTTAATCCATGTTACTCTTGCCTGAGTTATATAAATATGAATGCAAATAAATAATGAGGGAATATTACAGCAATTTAATAAAAAAAAAACAGAAGCAAAGAGCCCTTTCATGTCAAATGCGGCGTAACAAACGAAAATCATATATGAAACAAAAAACAAAATAGAAATTTTAAATGAATTAAATATTAATTATTATAAAAATAAATATCTCTCACTCTCTCTCTCTCTCTCTCTTTCTCTATCTCTCTCAATTCACTATGATAATTATAATGGATATAATAATTCTATCTCTCTTTGCTACCAAGTTGTACTTATTCTTAATTAATTTACTTGTACAAAAATGTGTTAAATAATAATATTAATAATATTAAATGATAAATACATAATATAATTATACAAATAAAAATATAAATAATACTTGCAGCCATGCAATTTATCGGCATACGTGTGTGTATATTGTATATACACATATTGTATGTATACGCGCGTATATCATAAAATATAAATTACCTATTAATAATTAATTATCATTACTATTCATTGATATCACTATCGAAAACAAAAATAACGAATAGAGAGCATGAATGAATTTCGTGATAAATCGTATATGCATCATTTTTAATTAACACATTATTGTCCTAATTTGGACACAAATGTGGTTAACACTGGTCATACGACGTTGTGCGAGGTGGAGAGTGAAATTGATAGGAATGTTATTGATTTAAAAAAAAAAAAAAAATATATTAATGAAGAAAATAAAAAAACTGATGAATTAATTAAATACCAGAAGGTATGCGAATAAAATTTTGAATAATTCTTCTCCGTGTGTAAAGCTACAAAAATCATAAATTGTTAAATAAATCAATGTAATGATGTAACTTATAAATAGTTGTGTACATGAATGAGGAAATGTAATTGTCATGTGATGGCGAAAAGACGTATGTTCCTTTTTATTTTATGTTTATTTTTTATTTTTTTTCTTATTAATATTATCATTATTATATAGATATATATTTATTCATTTTTTTAATCTGTGCATCGTATTTTTTTGATTGTTAATTATTCTTGCCCTTAATCATTTTCAATTTTTTTTTTTTTTGGAACTCTGGAATTTTTAATTCAAATATAATCGTTTTCTTGTAAATTATATAATGATTTAATTGTTGTTATTATTATTATTTAAATGTAATATCCTATATTGTATTCTGTTAAACCTTTTTTCCTCTGTAGAAAAAATACTCACATCAATTAACTGTACATAATTCGACTTCAAATTTTTTACTTGAATCTACATGCTGAGAAGAAAGTTTCTTTGAAAAATTAGAAATATGTCAATACTCTAATTCATTATCAATTTTATCAAATAGCCATTTCAATCTTTTTCTTCATAAAAATATATATTTAATTACTTAAAATACAAGTCTTATTTCGTTCTTCAATGTAATTTTCTTCTCCAACTAACGTTTGAAGTAAACTAATATATCATATTAATTTTTTAATTGGAAAAAACGTGTGTATTGATGACCTAGCTATCATCAATAATGAATGATTGCGTGTAGAAACAGGGGAAAAAGTCCCGGCGCCTTTCTCTCAGACTGATGTGCTTAAAATTCGACAATTCTTGCGCTAGTATCTCTCGCAATTAATCAATCATGGATTGTTATTCATAAAGTACGGGTATTAATAATACTTGTGCAATAATTTTCGGAATATGAGCGAGTCAGATCTTTTAAAAAAATTTGTAGTGTACTTTTCTGTGACTCTTACATAAAAACATACGTTTAGAAAAATTAAATAGTAATGTAGCTGTACAATATACAGATTGGTTAACTATATCATTATTAATTATTATATTTGTTATTCAATGACAAATGGTGAAAAATACGCACAATGTTTACAAATATATTGATAATTACTAAAATTTTTTTTCACCTATGCTTGTCTATCAGTTATTTGTTCTGTGTGTTATTTTTATTTATACAGATACTGTCATCAATATTATTGTCAGCTTTAATTGTTCATGAATGAATTTTATGATAAATTTAACCAGTCTGTATATCATATCTCCGATATTGCATATAATCATGAGTCTTCAAATTTTAAAATATTTTCTCCTGCAAATAAGAGTCGTACGTGCAACTTTTAATAATTCTACTCACTCTATATACCTATAATAAAATCATATTTACTTAAAAAAATCACTTTTAAAAAATTCACTTGCAAAATTCATTAACGCGCGTATAACTCACACGTCCAAAATCTAAATTCTCATAATTCAGTAAAACTATTATGTATGGAAAAAGTAAGATAATATCCTGTTTAAGCTACTTTCGTCTCATCTCATGAATAAATACCTAACTAATTTAGTGATATGTATTCTTACATAATCACGTATAAACTTATTAATTAAATAATTACTTGATTGATGAATTACTACTAAATATAATTATATTGTATTTTTGGTGATTACTCACAGAGAGTTCAGCGTACCATTATTCCTTCTCCGACGTTTAGTACTATTCCTCTTTGAAAGTAAGGACGAAGGTTGGACCGTTGATCTCCCTGTTAACATTAAACGACGGATGATGTGAAGAAAATATTTAGGGTTTATTCATTTATTGAATTTAATGGCGAGGCAACTCATCATGATATAATAGATATCGTTAATCATTAATTCAGTACAGGACATGAAAGAACATCAGTTCATTTTAGGGAGAGAGTGAGTGATCAATTGTGGAGAAAATTTAAAGAAAAACTACAAGAAAGAATGGCAAGATTAAAATTTTTAAGAGTTTAAATGTTAGAGGTGGAATAAATAACAATATTTTTACAAATACTTCATTAAAAAAAATGATCTTGGTGATATATAAATGCATAAAAATCGTTTATCTTTTCTATCATTGCACAAAAAATTATGGAAAAAGTTAGTTAATTTTCTATTGTACTCAAGTGTTTAATATTTATATAATATATATTTTTCAAGAAGAATTTTTAACATTTAAACTTTTAAGAATTTTTATCTTTCAATTCTATTTGCTTATTGGAATTCTTTCATTGAAAGTAATATTTTTTGAAATCAATGTTCTTTTGTAATGAATTAATTGATATGATATTTGATATGAAATGATACAATCACTTTCTCTCTTCCATTGCCTCAGCTCTTTTTATCAATTTCGTTACAGCAAAAGAATACATTTAATAATGGAAATATCCTGAGTTGCTAATTATCTTCTCAGAGACGCGATAAGAATTAAACTGTAAATAAACGTGCGTTTACTATTACTTATTTACTATAGTACTGTTATCGACTTACTTCATAAGACCTTGAATTATTCGACTTAATCGAAGCTAAGATTTTAAAATAAAATAAAAAAAGAAAAGAGCGAGGAAATACATTAAAAGTAATGATTTAGGTAAGAGAAACGCCAAAGTGCTAAATGCATTGCGTAAATTGTTTTAGCAAATATAATAAAATAAAAAGAATAAATCCTATCTCACGCACATGTACAGTTACATGTATCACATATATCTATGTGAATAATAATGATTATCGTATGATTAAATAAATTTATCATCATCATTATTACTATTGACCATTATCGTCGTAATACGGCGAATAATTATTAAAATGAGAATAAATAAAATAAATTTCACTTATACATCAATTACCAAATACATCGTGATGATATATACATAATAATTAATTACAATTATATAATATCTTATTATTCTCATTATTAAAATTACGAAGTAACACCCCTAAGCCCATTTGTTGTGAATGTTTACGTTGTTTAATGATACTCAGATTATTCTAAAAATAAAGTCTATGATTTCCACGCGAAAGTGCAATTTTTTCATGTTGATGGTATTTCAACCTTCGCCCTATATTTACAGTTATTTATTTCTACAATAACAGACAAATTATATTTACAAATTTTACTGATTTCAAGATAATTGAATCATTACCAAAAGACGGATTGATTTTCTTCAAGATAAACGAAATGCTCGGTTCAATATTCGATTCAATACTGACGCTAGCACTGTGACGACAGCGCTATTGTTGAATTCTTTGTTAAAAAGTTTTGTTTAATGACAAAAGATGGTGGACTATGTTTCAAAATTGAAAAAATTTAAATTTGGCTCAGTCCATCTGCTGTAATTTGGGTGAGTTAACATAAAAGAGTTTGAAAACACTCGATAATATTCAATAAGCAATTATCAACTGTAAAAATAATTTATTTCTTATATTTCTCATTGGTAATTGGTAAAAACAATTATAGTTGATGGAAAGATAATCTTTACTCAATTAGGAAGATTTTTGTAATATTAACTAATAAAAAAATCATGTAGAGAAATGCATTTTTGATGAAGAATATAAAATTTGAATATAAATAAATAGAGTGCAAAAAATCAAAAATATGTAATTTGAACGTTACACATTAGTGGTTTTGAATTTCGCGGTTAGGAAAATTGCTCGGGAGGGGTGAATTAGGGACGGATGTCATGCCCTCTGTATTTGATATCCCTAAACTCTACTTTTTCAGCTTTTAATAAATGAGGTCAGTAAAACAAATGCAGATTAAATGGTGATAAAGATGAAAATAATTGTACTGATTGAGCTAAACAGTGACATCTGCTACCAAACTCTAAAAACAGTTAAGAAAACAATCAGTGCTTAAAGATGTCAGTACAGTTCATTTTAATCATCTGATTCTAGTTGTTCTAATTTATTTCGAGTGTGTATTGTTCCGGTGTTATTTTGCGTGTCATGTTTTGATTAAATTCTAAAATGAATAAAAGTAATTTATAAAAGTGTGAATAACATTTTTTAATAACAAAATTCTATCATATTAAAGTGTAAGTTGTGTGGGAATGACAATCAAAAGTTTAAAAACAAATAATATGATAGTGGTAATGTGATGAATGTTTCTGAAGGCGTTAAAAGAATTTTTGTCCCGATTTTAATAATCAGCAGCATCCGGTGAGTGAATCTAATCATTGCATACAGTTAAAAATATCAGTTATCACTAGAATTCGTCTATATCAATTGTTTTCTCGTTCATTCTGTCATTGTTTATTATTTAATTACTAGCGTTTGAGGTTATAATCTTCATTCATCGGCTTTTATCAAACGTTTGTTTACCTTTAATCAAAATCTTTATTTGATTTCCGGATATAAATGTTTGTTTCGAATTTATATCTTTTTATCGCTCTTTTATTTGTACAGTTTCCGAAAAGCAATCGACACACTCATATTTCAGTCATTTTACAGATTCGAATTATCATTCATCTATAAAACAATTTTAATGAATGTGTTTATTCTTATTTGATAATTTTAATCGAAAAGTTAAAAATGAGGTTACAACTAACTAGTGTTTGAAAAGAAGAGATACTTTTTCATATCCTTCGATAGCTCAGTTGGTAGAGCGGTGGACTGTAGTTGGCTTGAATATACTAGAAGATATCCATAGGTCGCTGGTTCAAATCCGGCTCGAAGGAAATTTTTTTTTTTTTCATTATAATAATTTTTTTTTTTTTTTTATTAAATTATTAACATTATTTAGCTCTATGAGTTAATTTCAGACGATAATTTATTGAGATAGTTTGAATTTGATAATGAAATATAGGCATTCTCATGACTTAGTGATTGATTTGAATACATTATTATAATACTGTGTGATTAGCACAATAAATTAAGTGGTATTCAAATATCCTAATAGACTCTAATTAAACTGAAGAGAAAATGCAATGTATGGTATTGTTGGTATCTGTTGAAAATGCTGAGTACCATACAAGGCCATAGATAGGAATCATGTATCCCGAAGGGAAATTGCCAATCGTGCGACAAGTGCTTCCATTATCTTCGCTATCGCTATTATTAGCATTTAATGATAAACAAATGAGCATGCGATACGAAACTTGCCCCATCTCCCATATTCCCTTACAGCCCCTTTAGCACACGGAATGAAATATAATCGTACATTCATACTCTCTCGCTCCCTCCCTATACATTGAATTTTCGCGTCACAATATTCGTCTATTTATTCTAGTGCTGTGAAAAAATATTTCACTTGTGTTGGAGAATAAAAAGAAAATTTTAGCAGTACATATGCATGTTATCTCAACTCAAATTCATATGGTGGAAATTTGTTTCACATTTTATCGACTCGTTCAACTAAAATGCGTTGTAAAAAAAGGAAGAAGAATGAAATAAAATACGCATATGTCTCACGATAGAATATTATTATTCGGTTGGGATGGAAAAATTCTATTCTCATTAAAGTGTATTTTGTTATACTATTAACATAATTTGGAAATATTTATAATATTTTTTTGTTAAAAAAAATGGCATGAATTTTCATTCTCTTCGATAATGGATATTAGAGATAAAAAAATGTGTAATGCATTAATTAATTAAATATGTAAAAGTTTAAATAAAATATGTAAGAGGGTTAAAAATATTTTGTAAAAAGTTTTTTTCAAATTTCACCATTCCATTTTTGGGTTAGAGTTATTCATTTATCATCCGTATTCTTTTTTAATGCAATAAAAAAAACTGATTCAACAACAAATAATAAATTTAAAAGAAAATGATGGATGATGCTAGAATCAATCACAACTTACTATTTGAATAGTTCCATTTGTAAATCACAAATACGAAAAAAAATCAACAAATAAAGTTATATATACACACACAAATAGTGGGAGTTTTACCAACTGATGAGGGCAATAAATTTCGCACACTTTATCATATTTGATAAGCAGAAAAAAATTTTTTTTTTCTAAATGTGATAAAAATGGAGCAACGCATGATGAATGAAATTTAGTCAAATTGGTGGGTTATTTTTCAAAATGTAACCCTCTGTGAATTCTCACCTGGTTTCTGTCATGTGCATGCTTGCATGGCCCTGTAATAATTTCCATAGGTTGCATGTAACGTGACATATCGTTTCACAAACTTATTTGCGTGAATTACTCAAGTTCTTGAAATTACCGCTGACAAATACATGCAAGCGATAATTAATAAATAACGCATGGGGTTTGAAAAATTAACATAAATGTATTAAGCAAGAATTTAGCATGATTAATCACACTTATAGCTTGTATGGTGCTTAGTGGGTGCTTGGAGGGTGAAACAATAGCATGTTGGAGGCGAAAACTAGGCTTTTCTGGTGGGGGTTCATTTTATGAAGGGTCGGCTGGAATCCAACCAGTTCGAAATTGGACTTTACGATAAGCTTTGCGTCACCCTAGTAATATCGTCGAGAGCTTACGGGAGTGGGTGCAGGGGCCAAGTGTAAAGGAGGTTGCAGTAAAGAGAGCCATAGAAGCTTCAGAGGCACTTGGCCATTCTCGAGTAAATTCCACCATCCGTGGTAAACGGCATAACGTTAAATCCATGAGTGGAATCCGTGCACGTACGTTCTATGCTTTCCGGAGGGTGTGTGCAACTGGATTTGGCGGAAGAAGGAAGTACTAACGGCGAAGAACGATAGAGAAGCCGCATTAATTCACTTGTTCCCAACAAGTTTCTCTCAATAATATAGTCCAATTTAAATTGATTTTCCAGACAAAATGCTCTGTTATATAGCATTCAAACTAGTGTATGTTGGATCCAATAAATGATTTCTGCAAGAAACTCCAGGCGTGAAGGAGGTAAGGAAGGCTAAGGAAAAAGTTGTGACGAAGAAGTTGGAAGAAAAAAGTAATCTGGGCTTTCATGGTTGAGCTAGAAAGAGCTTTCGCACACTTTCCTCTTCTCGCATTCTTTTTTTTTCTTTGTTTTGCTTCTACATTTCTACCATTTTTTTTTATTTCTAGTGGCTACAAGATTTACGATCACGCCGCTTACAGTGTTGAAAGATATTATTTACGTTGAAATCTGAAGTCGAATTCTGGTCATTTTTAAAAATTATTATCTTTTATCTTTCAGTCAATATTATTAACATCTAAAACATTCTTTTCTATCACTTCAAATAACTTAACCAGAACTCAATGAATTTTTTGATAGAAATCAAATCTTTGTTTTATCGACTTTCAGTTCAGTTTCAGTTTCTCATTGATTTGATAGATAGTAAAGGAAAGTACTGAGATTTTTTATAGCTCTTTTTTACATTTAAAATAAAATAGAATTTGTTTCAAATGAACTGTTATAGTTAACATGGAAATTTTTATGACAAATTTATGTTTAACACTTTAAAATTGACCAGAATTATTTTTATCAAAAACATTGTTTCGGCTGTTACCTTGTGTTATCAGTATTCATCATGTGTATTTAGTACTCTTTGAAATTCAAAGTAAAATAAAAAGTATGTAGAATTTTTCACAAATTACCTTCCAGTTATGTTTGATGTAAATTTTTCTCTGTACTTAAGTAAATTTTTAACATTTTGATTACCAAGTTAATACTTGATGATGATATAAATTTTTAAAATAAATTTAGTGTACAAGAATAATTGTTTTATTAAGAGTATTTGATCAATTCGTAGCTAGAAGAATGTAATCTCTTCACATATTCCCTTTCTCATTTACATAAGCTTCAGGAATAACATTAGTGATTGAAGGGTAAACTAAGAATTTAAAAAAAATATATCTCACTAATTCTCATGAATAAAACTCTGAATGATTTAATTAACATTTTCTATTGTTATATAATGAACAGACATTTTTTCACATGCTACAATGGTGAATACCTAAACAATAGCTTAGTTATTTGAAGAAAAAAAGTTTAATCAAATCCATTAATATTTGAAATTAATGAGAGTGATCTTAGGATAAAAAATGAATTATTCTTACTTTTATGTTATTCTTTAAACATTGAAAAAGTGTAGGATAATAACAAGTGATCATGTTTCAAAAGTGTCCTGATTTCTCCACTTTCATGGTTACTTGAAGATAATGAGACTTAAAATATTTAAATTCAATTTTCTTCAATCGGCCATCTTATCTTAAATTCTATCATTAGTTTCTGTCTAATATCTGTTATTATATAAATTCACAGCTATTAACATAGAT